CAAGGATGGCGGAGGGAGACCGAGCCAAGGTACATGCTTTCAGACCTGGCGGGGGAGCCTGCTCCTGGCTGAGCAGCCTGCTGCAGGCAGGTCTCGGGGTGGTGCCAGGGCTGGCCACATGGCTGGCTCGCTGACATCCTCGCTGAGGACCGAAAGAACAAGGGCCACAGCGGAGGGCTGACACTTCTGGGGATGGTGGTGAGGGGTCAGTCTGGAGCATGTGAGCCTCCAGAACTGAGCAGATATGTTACTGTTGCTTTTAGACACAGAGTGTCTTAGACTATTTTGTGCTGCTCTATCAAGACGACCTGACACTAGGTGGTTATAAAGAACAGAAACTTAGTTCTCTCAGGGCTGGAGGCTGGGAAGTCGAAGATGAAGGCGCTGGCAGTGGGAGAGGCTGCCTTGCTGCGCTGTCTCCTGGTACAAAGCGGAAAGGCAGCAGAGGATGAAACCATGCCCTCCCCCAGCGAGACAAGCCCAGCCTGCAAGCCCTATTCAGACTTGCTGCTCTGCTTCCTCATGCCTCTGCCCTGTTCCTGATCTTACATAGTCCAAAGGCTTCATCCTCATGGACTGGAAAGAGACAGGAGGTGAAAGAACTGTAAGAATGTTGGGAAGAGGGGCCCACGGAGGGATGCTGCAGGCACCATGGAGAAGAGCTACTTAGGAAGTTCACTGACCAGGCTGGCCTGTGACTAGCTTCTGTCACGAGATGTCAGAGGAGACGGGGCTAAAGCCAAGCCATGATCATACACAGAGCATGAACCCTGGGTCGGTGCAGCTCCAACCTGCCTGATGGGAAGTGTGCTGAGCACACACATGTGCTGCTCCAGACCTCCACCTGTAGGTATGTCGAGTTTATCCCACAGACATGTAACCCACACTTAAAGAACAGCCCTGCCACTCTGAGTCATTCATGAGTGACCCCCAAAGTCTGAGGTAGGTGGGGATGTGTCTTTGCTGAGGCTAGATTTACGTGTTATTCCTCTAGGGGTAGTTGTAGGTGAAGAGTTCTTGGCTGGTGAGAAACCAGCTTGGTGCCCACACCTGTGAAATGCTCTCATGCTCCCAGCTACTTGTTAGGTGGGCAGTAATTGTTTTTGTTTTTTTGCTATAGGGTGTGTGTACTCATCAGAGAGAGGGAGGGAGAGAGAGGGAGAGAGAGGGAGGGAGGGAGAGGGAGAGAGAGCGAGAGAGTGCGCACGTGAGAGAGATCAATTCCTGGAGGGATGGCCCCTCTTCTTCCATTCTCCTCAGGATTTTTTGGGTATGCATGCACACATGCCTGGCGTGATTTTAAAGCTGCTGGGACTGGGAGTCAAACCTCACTGCCTACCACGTGGGATCCTGCACTTTAACTTCCGTGCCACCTGCTGGCCTGGGCAGTAATTTTTAAAGCATTAACAATTTTGTTTTAGTGAAAAGCGTCCCTCATTCATCCATACTGGAGGGTGTGGAGAAGCCCAGTCACCAGTCCTGCGCCAAGGGAAGGAAAGGAGCCAAAAGCCAGACCGTTTTACACCAGCAAACAGGAACCAGTACGTATTTGAGTGTTTGAGTAAATAAGGCACCGTTACTTTATACACAAATAAACAAGAGGATCGGAGTTTAGAGAAGGAAGGTTAGTCTGTGGCATGAAGTTCACATGTGACTCAGTGGGATGCCATTTGAGGGGACAGTCCCTCTGACAACACCTGGGGCCTCCTGGAAGCCTTGGAATACAGCCTCTGGATGGATGGACGCCCTCATGGACGTGTGTGTGTGCCTCGTACCTTGACTGTTCTCGCCCTGCTGTCTCTCCTGGCAACCAACTTACTATCACTGAGCTCACAAGTCTCTCTGTGAAGCCGTCCCTGGCGTTCCCATGCAGCTCGACACACTTATCTTCCAGCCTTTCCACAGTATTAACACATCTACCCGGATAGTAAAGAACACGTACTTTGCTTACCCACCTGCATTGCTCACTGAACCATGAACTCCGAGAGCCTATGGATCAAGGAAGCCCAAGCTACAGGCATCGTAAGTGCCCCAAATAAGCACACCGTGTCAAAGGCGTATGGTTAGACACACAAGCACGTCACACACGCACTCACACACCAGGGCATTTGGATGGTCACGGAGAGGTGAGCCAATCTGCAAGTGGCGTGTATGGCTCTTTCCAAAACCCCGATTCAGGGCATGTGAAACAGGGTTTTGAAGGGAGCTTTAAAAGCAGCAAGCCGAGTCACCAATCAGCATGCTAAGCACATTTAAAAACAAAAACAGAAACAAACCCACAATGAAACTCACTGGCAGGAAGAAGCAAGGCATGCAAACGAGCAAGGCTGCTCAGTTATGCTTCTCAGAGCCCATCGTGGGCTAGGACCCTGCCGGGCCATGGGGCAGCGCCTAGTCCGCTAGCTGGCTAGTAGTAAAGATGGAAATGAAGTTCCACGTAGATAGGAGCTTGCCACTTGTCACTGCTGCAACTCAACTAGCCGACTGGACAAGTTCGTCCATTCTTCAAGTGATCACTGAGAATCTCCTGGGTGTGAGCATGAGTCAATAAACACAGGCGAGAGCCAGACAGGTCCCTGCTCTCACAGAGCTCGCATTCTAGCGGGGAAGACACACAAACTAGTCTTTCTTACTGTGGGAAGGGACTCAGGGAGAAAAGCTCCTTTAGAGAGGAAGGTAAGAGAGATAGGCATGCAAGCTGAGAACTGAAGGAGAGGGAACCAAGTATTCAAAAGCATGGAGGTCCAGGGAGTGGAAGGGCTACCAGGAGAGAAAGGCCACCAGGCATCCAAGAGGTGAGAGGCCGGGGTGAGAGCGGAGAGTCACAAAAGAGGCGGGGAGGTAGAAGTCCCATCATGCAAGGCCTGGAGGCTCCTGGCACGCAGAGCCTGCACTTATATGAAGCTCAACAGAAAATCTTTGCAAGGGCATTGAAAAGAAGAACGACCATGGTCTGATTTATAATTATGAGAAAATCACTCTGGCTGTTGTGAGAAACACGGGGTACTTGGCTCTGCTGGGCCCACGTTTCCTCATCTGCAAGGTGAGTAGTGTCCACCTCGCAGAGCTGCTGCAGTGACCGGATGAGATTTCAAACATGTGCAGCATCTCCCTGCTAATACTAGTCACTAGTTGCTGTCTTTTTTTTTTTTTTTTTAAAGAATTATTTTAACTTTATTTATTTATTTTAATTTGACCAGAAAGGGAGAGAGGGAGAGAGTGAGAGAAAGGGAAAGTGAGAAAGCAAGTGAGTTTAGTGAGCTTGCCAGAGAGAGACAGACGGAAAAGAAGAGGGAGAAAGCACTCCATGGTGGGGTGTGGCCATGCCTCAGTCCCTTCTTTATCCTGTTGGGATTTGGGGCATGCTCATATACCTACATTGTTTTTCAAGCTGTCAGGGCTGGAATTCAAACTGTTATTTGTGGTCAGCCATGTGAAATCTGCTTCCTTAACCACTAGGCTACTGGGCTGGCCCTACTTTTTCTCTTAAGTGATGGACTGAATGTTATAAGGATTAGGGTTTTGTCCATTAAATGAACACTAAGAACCACAAGAGAGAAACAACTATAAGCCTCATTAAGTTTAAAATTATATGGAAGCATCACAGTAATTTTGTATTTTTTTAATAATTATTTTTTATTTTAACTAGTTACTTAAATTTGACCAGAGAGGGGCAGAGTCAGAGAGATAGTGAAAGCAAGAAAGCAAGCCACCAGGTCCAGGACTTGAACCACGGCTGGCCATGTGGGAGTCTAGGGCCTTTAACCACCACGCCACCTGCTGGCTCCCACTAGTAACTGTTTTTAAGTATTTAATATGTAAATATTTATAATTGGTTTAAATATTTTTTTAAAATGACCCTTGGCCTGCAGAGGGAGGCATCGTCGTACTCAAACACACCCGAGTCCTCCTCTGCACGTGTGTGCTGTGTGTGGTGTGTTCCATCTTCTGAACGTGCCACCTGTCCGTCCACTGCCCATGGAGCCCCATGCACGGCCTGGCCCCGGGCATCTTTGGCCCTGACTTCAAGACAACTTACCCCAAGGAACTGCGCCTTTGCTTGGGGGCCCATGAGGTAGTGGGCTGGGAGGGTCGGACAGGGTTCTCTTGTGTCCGGGTGGTGGGGGAGGAGGCCTCTTCTTGGATAGGGTGGGGCTTCCACTAGAGGTCTGGGAGCTTAGAGGGAGTGTTGAAGGTGGGCCAGTTGGACCTGGAAAGGAAAGTGAATGGGGGCAGGAAGGTTAATCCCAGTCTCACCAACACAGAACAGCCGGAGCGCAATGACTTCCACACATCAATATGTGGTACGAGACACAGACAGAAGCAAAAGGCTGCATGTGGCCAGGCCCTTTAACCCAGTAACTCAATTGGGGCTTTTCTAAATTGTAGGTTAAGACAAAAAAATAAACCTACAACAAAGGAGAGTGTTTGCCTTTAAGAAACAACATGCCAGTTAACACAACGCTAACTGGTTTGGATCATAATTTAGGCACAGTGGGAAAAATAACACAAGCTCACATCTTACATCAACTTTGCAAACATCAGAAAATCCACCGAGAGAGGGCACGTGACGCCACCAGTGAGATCAACAGAGAGCAGAGTACAGGCTAAACCTTCCGGGGTCACAGGCTAGGACATGGACGTGTCGTGTCCATAAAATGGCGTTTTCTGTTCTGCTACTTCTTCTTTTACTTATTCACAAATTGCCAGGTTTAAAAAAAATAACTTCTCAAAAAAAGAAAAAGGACCTAATGTAAAGCATTACCTGGACAAAAAGAGAAATGCAAACACAGTTTGCCTCTACTTCTGACCTGTTCTAGAAACCATAAATCACCTACGACATCGAATGCCTGAGTGACCGCTACATAAACTGGACAGTGATTCGTAGATTTAAAAAAACAAAAAGACTCATCTTTCTTCAGAGGTAGACAGGACAGCAGTCATGACATTAATACTCCATATTACTAGAAAAGCTGACTTTTAAAAACTAATTTCTCTTTCTCTCTCTTTTAAAGATACTTGCTATAGAATGTGTGCACTCACAGGAGGAAGACAGAGAAGGAAAGTGAGAAATCATCCCTTAAGGGGGATGGCCATGCCACAATCCTTCCTTCATTCTCTCAGGACTGTGGGCACACGGTCCTGTGTGTCCAGTGTGTCTTTCAAGCTATTGGATCCGGGACTTGAACCCTGGAGTGGGCTGTGTGGGATCCAGCACCTTAATCATCATGTCACCTGCTGGCCCCTGAACTAATCTTTTCAGCAAGAAATGAAATTTTTTTTGAGAGGTTTTTGCTACTGGGCACACGCGCTCGCCAGAGAGATAGAAAGCGAGAAATCACCCCCCGGAGGGATGGCCACACCACAATCCCTTCGCCTCGGGATCTTGGGGACGCACGCACACGCGCCCGGCGTGAGTTTAAGCCACTGGGTCCAGGACTCAAACCACAGTCAACTACATGGGAGTTCAGCAACATAGCCATTACGCTAACTGCTGGTCCCAAGAAATGAAATTTGTTTTTAAAAGCTGTTACAAGAGTTGTATAAACGTTCTTAGATTTGTTTACTCAGAGTAACATGAAGTGGCTGGTGGATTCCCAGCACTATATGCTGGGTACTGTGACAAATATTTTTTTAATGTTATTTATGGTTATATTGTTTAATCAGGTTCATGGACAATGAATATATCTGAATTTGCATATATTTGCAAGTATTAAGGGGGGAAAAAAAAGAAAAAGGAAACAAAAAGTTAAGAACACTGCCACAGCAAATGTTTAACACAAGATAGTAGATACTTGATGTTCCAGAAAGGCTCCAACAGAGCTTTTTATATTCTGTGTATTAAAAGAAAAGCTTAATTACTGCTGGCCTATTTCCTGGGTATAGTAAGCTTTGTTATTTCCCATTATCAATCACCAGTCAGTACGATCACTAATTTAAGCCATTATTTCTCAAAAATACTTGTCTGGGAAGTTAATACTATTAACCTTAATACAATTATACTCTGCTTTAGAATTAAATGGCCATAGTTATAAAATTTCTTTTCTATCCCACTGATGTGATACATGAACAACCTATGGTTAGTTTAAGTCGACACCTAATTACAGTATCAGTCGTTGCTGTTCCAGAATCTTTTATTTTTGTCGCAAAAAGGTGATCCTTACAGCCTTGCATCTATGACTCTTGGTAGTTTTCCAAAATGCATTTGTACATGCTCTTTCTTTTGATTTCTTAACAATCCTGTAAGGTATATGGTTTGGGTATGACTGTCCCCATTTTAAGGCCAACGAGCAGGGGCTATGTGTGATCATGCCTCCCTAGCCATGAGGGGCACGGCTGGGATAAGACAGGTGTCTGGGGCTGGCGAGGTGCTGCCCTATCAAGGATGCTGCTGGCTCCAATGCAGTCCTTCCTGGACTTGGCACATGAGAAAACAACAACTGCTCAGTATCAGGAAGTGTAACTTTCCTCTTGGAAATAAATGGATAATAGAGAATAGACAATGGTGAGCTTCTCTAGCAACTTCATCTTTATCGCCATCTAGGGGCTTTCTGATGTAATGCATCCGGGAGGTCACTCCATCAGGCTTCCAGTTCAGTGGGAAACAGAAATTGCCAAAGACACAATGTGAATGGAGCAAAGCTGTAGTGTCTGCGATTTCAGGGGTGAGCAGACCAGAGTCACTCTGTAACCATGAACCAAGCAAAATCCGGCTTCCTGAATCATCATTTTAAAAGTGAAGGGGTCAGTGCTTCCCTTGTCATGATGAACTTCTAATTTCCTCCTATGGTTATAATCTCCGATCATTAACATCTTTGTTTCATTTATTTATTGCCTGACTCTCCCAGCAAACCACAGGTTCTATCAGGCCCTGCCTTTCTTCTGGGCTGATGTACAATAAATATGTATTCAATAATTGAATGAATGAGCTACTTTTAAGGCTAGTGATTCTTTTTCCTTTTAATTTTTTTAATAGACCAGAGTGTATTCTTAACAGCCATTGTGCCATGAATTCATAGGAAACAGGGTCCAGAAGCTCAGGCTCCTTTCCACTGGTCCTCATGAAGTGTGCTTCTCTGGTGGAGCAGGCTGTCACGTCAGGGCCTTTTCTCTCTGGTTTCCTTTTTTTTTTTTTTCTGGTCTTTTTCTTTAAT